AAAAGGACAGTTTTAAAGGTATATGTACAAAAACATCTGATGTTTGTGTACCTATGAGAGTAACCTGGGTTTTCAATATGAAAATCTGCCTAAAATTGCAAATCAGCCCCTGAACTTTGCTTTTAATTATACTTATGCCACAGATAGGCCAGCTGTCAACCATCCCTCCGAAGCAAAGAACTCACGAGGCCATCCATCACTTCCGTCGAACCAAACGCGGCCTTCCCCACGAGGCCTTCTTCGGCGGCTTCATCCTCGAGAAAGTCGCGATGCCTCTCTCCAAGGGACAAATTAGCCTCCACAACACAAACATCGACGAAAACCCGCGCATCACCTTCAACTACTTCTCCCACCCTGCTGACGTGGCGCGCTGTGTGGACGGCATCCGCATCATCGAGAGAATCGTGCGGTCCAAACACTTTGCTAACCTCACGACCATCGATCGGGAGTCGAACGAGAGGCTGCTCAACATGAGTGTGCGTGCGAATGTGAACCTCTTGCCCAAGCACACAAACGATACCCAGTCCTTGGCACAGTTTTGCAAGGACACGGTTATCACCATATGGCACTATCATGGGGGGTGCCACGTGGGCAGGGTGGTGGGCCCGGATTATAGGCTCTTTGGTGTCGGGGGTTTGCGGGTCGTGGATGGATCGACTTTTTACGACTCGCCAGGGACTAATCCGCAAGCCACGGTCATGATGATGGGCAGGTAACATTTTTTGAACAACTCCTTGAGGTTTGGCTCTGTGTTGCACATTATGGGTGTGTTTGTATATAAATATATGTATCCGCTCAAAATGAATTTTTTTAAATTAACCGTGGTTAATTTTGAAAATGGTGGCATGACTAGTTAATTAGTGGAAGTTTGAGTTTATATTAAAATAATAATTAAAATAAAATAATTACAGTTGATTTGATGTAAATGTATGAGAGAGATAATGTGAAGTGATAGTTAGTTAAAATTTTATGAGTAGATGAATAGTGAATTAAAGTTGATGTGATGTGTAAGAATAATTGATTGATATTATTTAATTATATTGATAATTTTGAAGATAGTGGAGTTGAGTTAAAGTTGAGTTAAATTTTTTAAGTATGAATTGAATTATTTCATATACAAAAAGAGTATTTGTGGAAGAGTTAAATTTAAGACATAATCAAAGCTCAATTGGTTTTTCTGCAAGTACAGAGAATATTTTTTAATTTTTTTTTTTTAATGATTCAATCCCTTGGTTATCTTTTTTGGAATGATCTTTAGAAATATTGCCCTTTGAGATTTGGATTAACTACAAAAGATTCTGATAATTTAACTTTCAGAAATTAAATCTATATATGTTTTGCGGATTACAACTTGTTGACTGTTGAGGAAGTAATCTGTAAGGCCATTTGTAACACACTGGAGGGTATTATTTCAAGTTTCTTAGGATAACTGGATCTTTATTTTTAATTTTAATTTAGCTAAACTTCAGGGTTACAATTGTAATTAACCCTTGAAACTATGCTTAAAATGAAAGATGGTAAAAAAAAATGTGTCATGTTGAATGAAAGAAAAGATTTGAAACTCATTTGATTAGTCTGAAATTCGAAAATGCAGGTACATGGGGGTGAAGATATTGAGGGAGAGACTAGGCAAAGCAGCTGGGGTGTAAAAGGAATAATGACAAGCACAAGAGGCTACCAGCAGTATATGAGTATATGTTTTGTTGCAGTGGAGAAGTAATAATTCCTATGCTCCTATCGTTGTCTTGCAGAGAAACATGTAGAGAGAAAAAAAGGGTGACAAATTCATTGTTGTATTAACCAATACTTTGATTTCTTGATACTGGTATCGATTATCCCTTTTGTGACAACACAAACATGTGAAATTTATATCTAACAACCACATCTTTTGTATTTTACAATTTTTTTATTAACTAACCTATGATCTATACGGATACACCCATTATATTATTAACCGTTTGAGCTACATAAGAGCATCTCCAATGGTGAGAATGGATTGCACTTTAAATTGATCTCCAATGGTGAGGATAGATTGCACTTTAAATTGATGGTCTTCTAAATAACTCTCCAGTGATGAATATCTAGACTGGTTTGTGTGTGTGTTTTTTTTTTCTTTTTTTGTTTAAAAAAAAGCCAAAAAAGACGTGAAGAAACCATCAAATCACACGAGTAAAGTCTATACACGAACTTTGAACCATGAAATCACACTATTTTTGGTAAAGGTATGTACACGTAAATTTTGAATTTTTTTTTCGTAAATTTTTCTTTTTTTGTTGCTTGTGTTATTCTAACAAAACTAGTAATAACCCGTGCGATGTACGGGACGGTATATTTCTAAATATTTTTAAATAATAAATATTAAATTTAGTGAACTTGTTATATTTGTAACAAAAGTAAACACGTTGGGCGCAAACTACAATTCATAAATTATTGAAAACTTCTTTGTAGACAACATTTTTTGTTTGATTTGGCGTCGAGTCATCGTCACCACAAACTAAAATTTTCTAACCATTTCGGTTGGTGACACGGGATACAATAATGTATAACTGTCCATGGCTGAACACATGCTTCTTAAGAAATAAACCAACATGCGATAACGATTGTCCCTGGCTCTTGTTGATAGTCATGCGTACGATACCATAATCGAAAATAGACGTCTCTGGAACTTGAAAGGAATTCAGACATCGGAAGGAGTAATAGCCATTCTAGGAAGCAACACCTTCTCGCCTGCGTGATCCCCAGTTAGTATCTTACACTCGATAACATGAGTGGAGAGTTTTGTGACAACCAACCGCGTCCCATTGCATAGGCCCATAGAATGATCCATGTTACGCAACAACATGAAGGGAGTTCCAATCTTCAAATGCAATTGATGATTTGGAATTCCAGAACATTTGATACTATTTAAGAATTCAGGCGTGTGGATATCAGACAGAGAATCGTTATTAAAGTCGGACTTGCAAGTACTATCAGAACTTAAGTACATCTG